GAAGGTGCTGTGAGAATTTATGATGCGGAGGGTCAGGAGGGCTAGCCTGGAGGGCCTCCTGGAGGAGGTGAGCTTGGAGCTGGGACCTGCCAGACAAAGATGGCAAAGGCCATAGGAACAGAAAACAGTGGTGGGGCCTTGAGCACAAAGAACTCGGCCTCCCATGAATAAGACGAAGGAGGCAGACACGTAGTAACGACAGCTGACGTGCTCAGCACAGCAGTTTCTCAAACACCATCGTTTGGTTCAATGCGATCTCTTTATAACGTTGCCGAGATGCTGTAGAAACCGAACTTTTGTTGACCAGTTAGCCTCGGGCGAGACTGGCTTTGTCGCACATCATCTCGCAGAGCCGACCGTCGAGGCTAAGTGAGGACTTACTGTTGGTGCCGAGGGTCTGGGTGTGAAGCAGTTGGCACGAATCGGCCCCTTTAACCCTCTCAACAACCACGTGAGGCCGGTAATCCCTGATTCGTATTGTGCGGACCGGAGAAGAGGCACAGCGGCCTGGGAGCCCGGCCCGGGGCGGCTTTAGAGTGGAGGCAACGCGTGGGCGCGGACGGCCCGGCCTCGGGACCAACGCCGCTCGACCCACAGGGCTGTGAGCGAGAGCTTGGTGGACTCTCACATTTCCATCACTTTTTAAAAACCCAGTCAAACACAAAACCTTTGGTCTCTACAACCGGCACCGCCAGGGGGGCGCACGCTCTCTGCAGACGGCCCGGGACTTCCAACTCCCCTCCCATCTGCCTGCCCCACCCTCCCCTCGCCAGGAAAGCCTGAAGTTAAAAGAACTTCTCGATACCAGACCCGACAGGTTGCGCCTGCTTCTTGTCAGGACGGCCCCTCTCTCCCCGCGTTCCCCCCGGCGCCCAGGCCCGCTCCCAGCCTGGCGAAGGAGCGAGGTCCCGCCGGCGGCAGAGCCGGCCCAGCCTCCGGCCCGTGACCACCGGCCTCTCCCCAGGCCCCCGGCTTTCTCCTCCCGCTCGGGCCGTATGTGTTACCCTGTTACCCTGCTGCGCTCTGTCTGTGCAGCCTGATTGGACTTTGTTGGCCTGAATGAACAGATGCATCTCAAATTAGCAGCATCAGCAGAACGGGCGCCCCGATGATGGATGTTAGAGTCACGCTCTGTATACAGCAGGCAAATCACGGACGCCTGCATCCTGCTGGCTGAGCACATTTGAGGAAGATGGGGAAAAAAAAGAGAAACTCCTTAGATTTTAAACCTCGGGCAATCCTGACGTGGAGAAGTTAGGGCCACGCAGTTCCGCCGCCAAAGTTAACACCAGCCCCGTCGCAGCAAAGGACGCAAAGGCTACGGCTGGGCCCGCGCAGGAGGAGGCTCCCTGCCAGTGAAGGAAATCCGCTCCCCACGGGGGAGTTTCCTTTTTTATATAATATTTACGTGATTTTTAAAGAGCGGCCTTTCCGTGATCGCGACCCCGTTCTGGGTAAATAATGAAGGACATAGATTTATATCCCAGGCCAGAGGCTGTCCTGAGCGTTACGTCGATGACATCACAGCATCCGCCCCGCGGAGGGCTGTGCCTTTATATTTTTTTATACATTTTTTTATTGATTTCAGAGAGAGGAAGGGAGAAGGAGAGAGAGAGAGAAACATCAATGCTGAGAGTCCTTGATCGACCGCCTCCTGCACACCCCCGGCTGGGGATCGAGCCGGCAACCGGGGCCTGTGCCCTGACCCAGAATCGAACCGTGACCTGGTTCATGGGCCAAAGCTCAACCACTGAGCCTCCCCAGCTGGGCGAGGGCTGTGCCTTTAACGCACCTTTTACCACAGGGTCCTGAAGCCCCTTAAGTCACAGAATGTCGCCACCAAAATCCCTCCCAAACCCTTTCGGAGGGTCCCATCCGTCTGCTCAGAAATCTTCCCAGGAGCTGCCCTGGACGGTTTGGCTCAGTGGTTAGAGCATCGGCCCTGAAGGGTCCTGCGTTCGATTCTGGCCAAGGGCATGTGCCTCAGTTTCAGGCTCGACCTTGGCCCGGGCAGGTGCAGGAGGCAACCAATCGATGTGTCTTTCTCACATCGATGCTCCTCTCTCTCTCTCCCCCTCTCTCTCTCCCCCCCCGCTTCCACTCTCTCTGAAAAGCAATGGGAAAAATATCCCCGGGTCAGAATTAAAAAAAAAATTTTTAAAAGAAAGGAAGGGAGGGAGGGAGGAAGGGAGAAAATCTTCCCAGGAGTGACTCCAGGACACCCCTGATCCATCTGAAAAATCTTAACCTCTAAATAATGTATGAAATGCACTCTACCTTTGCAGCAAAAAGTGAAAATTCTCCCCCGTGGACAAAGGGCCACGGTAAACAGGACACCAGGGGTGAGCCAGCTTACGTGGGCTAGAAATCAGTGTTGAGGAACCTCTGCAAGTCGAGACATCCCATTAAACAAACACACGTTTCCGTGCGACGTCTCGGCCGCCTGCCTCCAGTGCACCGACACTCGCCGGCATGATTTCTAGAGAGAAATGAAGGACTCCTCTTACGTGACTTCTGTATTTCCAATCCTCCCCGCCGTTCGGAGAGAGAGCCTCTGCCATTATTGGCTCATGAATATATTTCCAAGGGGACAGGGAGCGGCCGAACGCAGGGGAGCAGAGCATGAGGTAATCAAACACGATTAAACTCATTCCTCTGACATTCGGAGAGTCGCTGGCGGACGGGGTCGGATTTGTTAAGCTTGCTTTCGGAGGGTCATGGGGCATTTCCTCCGAGAGAGACCCCTGACAGCTGTCACCAGCGTCTCCCCAAGGCTGGGAGCCCGTGGGATTTTCACAGCACGAGCCCCCGTGATGATACCGAGTCCCACGGGACGCACTGCCCGGCTCTGTCCTCGCTGTGACCGGTGGACGGGTAACCCAGCCGACTCACCCGGGCTTCTGCCCGTCACCCTAATAAACAGAGAGCACCGGGCGCACCTGGGGCCATCGTTTTCCTGACCACGGCAGAGCTAGGACACGGCAGGCCACACACGGTGTTGTTGGAAAGAGCCAAAAAGAGTGTTATTCATTCGAAATTTCTGAATGTTCCCTCCTGCTGATCTCAACTCAGAGAGTCCTAATGAAGTGTGATTTCGTGACCACGCCTGGGACTGAGAACAGGTACGTGCGGATATTCTCCCACGGGGTAAGGACGTGACCCGCCCGGATGCTGCCTGGTCGAGACCAGCTCAGGGGGCCGCCCTGCAGCGTCCCTAGGACTAGGCATGACAGGGAGGCACAGAAGCGCCAACCCCATTCGGAAGGAAATGGCCCTCTACCCTTTGAAAGCCTACAAGTTCGATTACTTAAAAGACCCAGAGCCAAGAATCTAGGAAAACACAGAGCGACTTTCTGTACCAGGAGAAAAGCATACTCTAAGAGAGCACCAAGGGACTGCGAATGGCTTTCAAACACATAAAAGCACCATCAGAGGTTGAATTTTTAAAACGATGTTTCCTAAAAAAGTTAAACAGAGTTGCCAGATGATTCAGCAATTCCCAAGAGCAGTGAAAACCTACATTCGTACAGTAACTAGTACACGACACTTTGTAGCAACATATTCACAACAGCCAAAAGGTGGAAACAACCCACGTGTCCAATCAACTGATGGCGGGTAACAGACTGTGGCACGTCCATAGGATGGAATATTACTCAGCCCTGAACAGGAGTAAAGCCCTGATACACCCTGCAGCATGGGATGAACCTTGAAGACGTTATACTGAGTGAAAAAAGCTGGTCATAAAAAGAGCACAAGTTGTTTGTTTCCATTTATAGGAACCGGCAAATCCACACAGAGAGTAGGCTAGCGGTTGCCTGGGACTGGTGGGAGGCGGGAGTGGGGAGTGGCTGCTGAGGGGTGGCGAAACTATTCTGAAATTAGATTAGCAGTGAGAGTTATACCACTCAGAATAGACTAAAAACCACTTTAAATGACGAACTTTATCGTATGTGAATTGTATCTCAGTAAAAAAATTTAAACACCTATGTGTGTAGATGCACACTCAACCTATCTTAGGCCTCGATCTTGCTTTTTAAAACGAGAACCCATTCAACGTGAGCCCTAATTTTCTCCACAACCTTGTGTAATCACTGACTGTGATCCCATGAGAGGAGAAATAGCACCGACTGGTGAAGTGAACACCTCCCTGGGAGGAGAAGAGGGCACCTTTGTCCTTAAATTTAATTTTAGCATGGCACTAAAAGTAGGCACCCGCCACCAGCTGCAACATTTCTGAGATGCTGTTTCCAGTCCCTTTCCTTGTGGAACTAATCCTCCCCCCCCCCCC